CTTCTGTTCTCATTTTGTGCTTCTGGTTTCCTCAGACTGAATCAGCTGGATCAGTGATGCCCAAAAAGAAGAAGACAGAGAACAAAGTTTCATCGCTGAAATCAACTCGAGCCACCAAAACTACCAAGGTAGCTGCGATTTCCAGACTGTAGGCTTTAAAGTTCCTTTATTAATCAACTGTTATTCAAATACTTAGTAGAATATAAGGGAACAGATGGATGAAGTGAGAAAACTAATTAAATAACAAGTGAACAGATCAATACATTCAGCCAGTACAATAAGCAAACTAATAAACCAAGGGGACCACTTAATGAACCATCGGATGAATAAAAATAGATAAATCTCTGGTAGTTCACATCCATCACTGGGAGGATAAACTGATGAAGCTGAATAACTTTAAACACATTGTAAATGATCTTCTGTGTTACTGTTCTGGTTTGCTCAGGCTGCTTTATCAGAGAAGCCCAAAAAGAAGGAGAACAAACAGAAAGCTAAGAAAAAAGGTGAGTTCACACTGAAGTGTTATTTATGTCATGTTGCGACTTCTTCAGATAATCTGTGAGCTTGAAGTGTGAAGAGAAGCTTTTGGGGTCAAAGGTGATAATAAAAAGATATTTTCCAGTTTAATGTGCAGTATTAGGTCAAACTTATACCACTGTGGTCAGAAATCTTTCTCCACTCTTAATGGGCAAGAACATTCTGGCTCCCGTGTTATGATTTCTCAAAGGGTTTTTTCTGATTTGCAGTACAGGCCTCTGTCTGTAGCATGTGAGTCAGAATACTGTAGCTCCTGTGAAAAATAGAGTCTCAGATCAGAACGACTTGACTCCCTGCTATAATTCTCAAGCATGCATCTTAAAGCAAATAACTCGTAAGCTGGAGAAGAAATGACATGTCACTAATTTAGATGACCGCTAACTTTCTGCTTCTTAATTCAGATCAAACTGAGGTTATTGTACTCGGCCCTGAAAAGCTTAGAAATATGGTATCTAAGCAGATTCTTACTCTGGATGGCATTACCTTGGCCTCCAGTAACGCTGTAAGGAACCTTGGAGTCATTTTTGACCAGGACATGTCCTTCAACGCACATATTAAACCAGGATATGCAGCAGTTAGATTGTTTGAAGGGCGGAGCTCAAGAGAAGAATGTGATTGGTCACTTTACCAGACTAAAATAAAGTGAGAATAATTCTCTGGTTTCATTACCATAGAACCCAAGTGATTACTTCAATATTTCTTTTTGTTTTCAAATTAAAATGAAATATAGTGATCCCTCGCTATAACGCGGTTCTATGGTGTTATTTTTGTGCCACTATTCTGAGCGCATGTAAAAAAAATTTGCAGGTGCAAGTGTTGCATTTTGAGGAGAAATTTATTTTGAGCGCAGAAAAGCTAAATTTGAGTGAACAAAACTCATTGCTGCGTGCAAAAATTGTATTTCAGTGTTTGCTATTATCCACACACACACAATAGCAGCCCCTCTCGCTCAGTTTTTGCATTTGCGCTCGCTCGCAATGTGTCTCTTTGTGTAGTCGGACGATTTTTTTGTCAGTTCAGCCTTATATATCATGTTTAACCCGAGTGACCACCCGGTCAGCTGGTGGGTAACAGGCATCTCTGAAACGTTAGAGCACTTATGCAAATATGTGATGTCTTGATAAATCAAGCAGGTATTTGAAGTTTACACAGAAACATTCTCGCATGAAAATATCTTAAAAGTTTATTTTGTGACCCAGACAGAGTAATATTTCAAACTCTGCCACTCTGCGCTCCTCCGCTACTGCCTCGTTTGAGTTTTGGACGAAATGCAATCTGGGATATTACATTTCTTAATTTCGAGCTGATTGGAAACCAAAATAGCCAATCAGATTTTTTTGCATCCAAGTCTGTGATTGGCTGGTTTTGTGGCACAAATATAACGGTGTACAGAAATGTTGAGAGCGCGAGCAACACATTGCGAACGAGCTCAAAAACTGAGCAGGAGGGGCTGCTGTTGTGTGTGGATAATAGCAAACACTGAAATACATTTTTTACACGCAGCAATGAGTTTTGTTCACTCAAATTTAGCTTTTCTTCGCTCAAAATAAATTTCTCCTCAAAATGCAAAACTGTGTGCGCTCAAATCTTTTTTTTACGTGTGCTCAGAATAGTGGCACAAAAATAACGCCATATGGTTCACCTTTCGTAGCCTCACTGTTTCGTGGATTTTGTTTTGCAATTTTGCACGCTTTTTTTTTTAAACAGCGCATTGTGTTCTGCATGCTGATTGGCTGTAGACCATTGTCAATCAACCTCATCCTGTGTCTCCTCTACAGTACAGAAGCGTTCAGCTTGTCAAATTTACATAAATCTTCGATCGCTAGCAGTGTGACTCTGAAGTGCTGCACTGTATGTTTGTTAGTTTTCTCCCCAACAAAAAAATGTCCATGAAACATTTTGCACGGTTAAAGGCACGTTTGGTAGCACCCACAAGACAGAGGAAGATGCTAACCATCGCACAAAAAGTTGGACTTCTGGAGATGCTAAAGGAAGGTAGAAGTTACCATATTTTTCATATTATAAGGCACTTTAAGCGAAACAAAACAGTGAGATAAATCAAACTTTACTCAACTCATTCTTCTTGCTTCCTCCACTTTCTTACCATTGATTCATTAATGCTGAATTCTCTCACAGCTGCTTTATTCAATGTTCTGGACCTGAAAACATGGTTTGATCTCTGGTTTCATTCTATAATACTGGACTTATTGTACTACAAAAGGTTTGAACTTTGAGAGAGTTTAAACAAGAGAGAAAAGTGTGAAAATGTTCATGCCTTTCTGAGAAAAGTGTATAAAGTGTGTAGTGAGGGGTTTTACAGCCTTAAAACATCTATAATGTAAAAAATAAAGCTGGCTACTTCACGGATTTCACCTGTCACGGGTTATTCTTAGAACTTAACTCCGGTGATAAGCGGGGGACCACTGTATAATGAATTAAAAATGTTTTCTTGCATGAAATAAAAGCAATGCAGCAAGATTCCAATCAGTCGCTATATTTTTTTTCTCAGGACAAAAACATTTTGTGGATGAACACCGGAACAAGCTGATCCAGAGAGTGAGCAACATCGCACCGATTCTGGATGACCTCCTACAAAAAGATTTTATCGACGAAGAAGTTTACGCTGACATCAGAGCTCACAAGACCCCTCAAGAGATGATGAGGAATCTCCTCAGCCACATTGTAAAAGATGGTGATACCTCCAAAGAAGCCTTCTACCAAGTCCTTAGGAAACACCAAAAGATGCTCATTGACGACCTCAGCTGAAACAGTACAAAGTAAAGCCAGGGTCTCCTTTATGATCACAGAGTAACTGAGCTGATGTTTGTTAACTTTTCTAGAAAAACAATTTACAGGTCCATTAACCCAGTACCTGTTGTCAACACTCTGTCCCCAGAATAGCTTATTCACACAGGGTGCAGCCAACATCAGAGCACCACACAGAAGGGCCTTGATACTCTGAAAAGCACAAAGGAGACCACACATATGTCACATGTTCCTTCATTAGATCAAAAAGGGGAGTGGCAGTGGAGGAACACTTCAGACAGAAACTATGATAACATCTGACCTAAAAATCACGTCAGCTCATTGGTTCTTAGCTTGGGGAACTCTTCTATGGCCATTGCCTTCAGTTATACTGACTGGACCTGACCCAAAGCCAAAGTACATCACTGTCATACAAACAAACTGACATTTAATCAAATGAATGGTCACTCAGGCTGCAGACAGTGATTCAATGACAGTATGTTTGCACTGAAGCACCGCAGCAATTTCCTAATGTTGTAAACCTGCTCAACATTTGGCAATAAAACCCTTTCTGATTCTGATTCTGATTCAAATAGGGAACAAATGTAAAGTACATGATGGTCCCAAGTGCCACCATATACAACTACATCATCCAGTTAGCACAACCCTCCAGATCACCAAACACCATACAGAGATGTTGGAACACTGCTGGTGCATTTTCATATCAAACATCCTTGAAAGAGTAGTTGTCAAACAGCTAACAGATCATCTGCAGAGGTTTATTTGAAGAGTTTCAGTCAGGTTTCAGAGCTCATCACAGCACAGAAACAGCTTTAGTGAAGGTTACAAATGATCTTCTTATGGCCTCTGACAGTGGACTCATCTCTGTGCTTGTTATTTTTTTTAAACATCAAACTTGATTATGTTACCAAAAAAAACACTGATGTGAATAAAGGACAAAAATAACTTTACATTGTGTATAAAAATCTGAAATGTTTGTTCCTCATTATCAACAAATCCATCTATGATTAATTTAAGAAACTCATTTGTCGCTATATTCTTGTTCAGGTATGAAAATGTCTTTAAACATACCCTATCTATGCCATATTTTGCTACTGTCTGCTGTGTATCTTCCTCTAGTTCCCAAAGCCTGGTTGTTCCCATCTATGGATGTAACATTCATGTGAGAAGCTCTTTGTGCTGAACTGTGTATTCATCCTGTAGTTAATGTGATTCCTTTGTATGGTGTGTGTTGGAGGACTGTGATGTAATTCTTATCTCCCAGTGTCCACCTCACCTTACAGTATGAAGCACCTGGAGACACCTGTTGTTGTGATTTTGAGTTGTATAAATAAAGTTGAACCAAATCCTCACATGTGTAAACTGTAATCACTCAGCTTTAGCTCTGCTTACTTATGTGTGTTACTTCAACAGAAGACAGGAAGTGTGTGAACCCCACACCTGCAGGAATGAAGGTGTTCAAGGTGTGGGCGGGGGTCATTTCAGGGTCAGAGTTCTTTGGAGGATTTAAAATGATCAGTTTTCTTTGTAGCAGCGCCCGGGGGTCCAATTGCCTCTCACTCATCTACGCAAACTTGTTGCCGTTTTGTGTTTTTGTGATGTTTAGACGCTGACAGACTGTTTGATCTTTGTAAACAAACTCAGTTTATATTATGAGGGAGATTTTTATAGAAACCTGATTTAATTTGTTTGATGACAGCGACATGTTCCACGATCACGCGGCGATGAAGGTTTCCACGGACGTCTCGTCTCCTCGCCTCGTCCTGCCGGCCGCTCAGGGCCGACCCTCTGGTATGAAACGCCCGCTCGCTCACACGATGTTTCTCATCAGTCTGTTAACAGTTTGAGGCTTCAGTAAAAATGGCGGCGACGTGATCAAACTTGTGTCTCTCTGCAGTCGGCGGTCTCCTTCAGGCTCGATTCACCTCGGGCCTCTCTCAGCTGTCAGACTCTCCCCGCCCTCTCCTTCCTCCATCACGGCCGTCTCCAGCCAGCGTTGAAGCCCCCCGCTCTCTGCAGTGGGCGGGGCCTGGCCCGTCCCCCTTCACGCTGCCCTCCCGGACTCCGGAGCCTTCATTTAGGACGGTTGGCGTTCGGCGGCTCGGCGGCCCCGTCCCCCTCAAAGAGTCGATCACTCACGGGAAGGTTGGTGCTCAGGAGGTCGGCGTTTCCTCTGAAAACACCTCGAGTGCTCAAAGTGACGGTCACGTGTCACTGAGTCCTGTTAACGCTTAGAAATCCAGTTTAGAGGTCAGAGGTCAGAGTCTGTAAAGCATCATCTTCATGTGAACGGCAGGTTCTCCGAGAGGAGACAAGTTCTCCCCCTAAGCTCAAAGTCGGGCCGCTGTTTTTCAGGGAGGTTTACTCATGGACACCGGGCTGTTCGCCGTGCGCTCCTTCCGGGTCGGGTGGGGTCCCGGCTGGACGCTCGCACACTGCGGCAGCCGGCTGAGCTCGCCAACGTCCAAGCAGTTCGAGCACCAAGAACTGACGGCAAAGACTGACTTCAGCTTCCTGCCGAAACCTGCCAGGAGCAAACCGTAAGAACCACGAACACACCGCACGCCAACACATCAGCCAGGCTGCGTCTATAGTTACCATGACAACATGGCTCCATCATGTGAGGTGAACCGTACAGGCACATTTTCATCTGCCTGTACGGTTCACCTTGATGTAATGTGCCGTCGATCTTAAATGGTTTTATTTCCGCGGCGCGCCCCTCCTCCTCGCCGGCGAGGAGGAGCGGCACGCCCTCCACAGATCAGCTCCATTAAACTGCTTGATTTGGTTCTGCAGACTCACAGAAAGCCCCTACAAGGTAGTGGTGGAGCAGGTGGTGGGTCTGGAGCCTCCCAGAGGGAAAACCATTGAAGAAGAGGAAGATGAAGCGAGCCAGGCGGTGCTGCAGCGCCCCCTGGAGATCTGCCTGAAGCACAGCATCGTGGAGGTCCCCGACAGCTCCGCTTGCCCTGTGGTGCGACCACAGCCCGGCGTGGCGGCGCTGCACGAGTATGCCGAGTGGATCGCCGAGCTGAAAGACAGACGAGGCGACACTGAGCGTAAGTGATGACATCACAGCCGAAAGATGACGCGTTGGTGTTGGCGCCGGTTTAAACGCTCTCTCTGCTGCAGCGCTGCTGGGGTACTGGGCCGAGGTCTGGACTCTGTGTGCCGCGCTGTGGGGCCGGCTGGGCCCCTCGGATCAGGAGGCCGAGGTGCTCAGCGAGTACGAGCAGCAGCTGGAGAGGAGGCGGAGCTTCTTGGCCTGGCTGTCCCGCGGTGCCTCCCACAGGGTGGAGGAGGAGGTGGCTTTGGCCGGGAAAGGTCACCATGCCGACGCGGTTTTCAGCTACCTGACGGGAAACCGCATCAGCGAGGCGTGCCGACTTGCCCAGAAGGAAGGTGAGGTTCACTCCCTCAAACAGGAAGTAGCAGCGATGAGTGTTGAATGTGGCGCTCAGTAGACACGGCGACACGTTTTCCCGTCTGTAATGAAACCTCTGACTGAACTGTTTGTCCGTCCAGGAGACCACCGTCTGTCCCTGCTGCTGTCTCAGGCCGTGGGCTCGCAGTACTGCAGGGACCTTCTCGCCCTTCAGCTCGCCGATTGGCACCGCATGCAGACCGACTGCTACCTGCCCGAGGAGCGACTCCGCATCTTCGCTCTGCTCGCCGGGAAACCGGTATGACGCCATGACCAGAGTCTATAAAGCTAATGTCACACATGCAGTATCTTCTTCTGTGGTGTTAGAGGTCGTCAGCTAACGACCTGAATTAGTTCCACCTTCTGCTGGTTTTGGCGCATCACGTCCTACCAGGAAAGAATCAACAGCGTGTAAAACAAGAAATATTTTCACGAGCTTCTCTCGTGGTTATTGTTCAGTGACTTCAGTCGTTGCATCCATGTTAATAATGCTTGTAAATCATAAAGCTGACGTCAGGGTGAAATCAGGGCCTGCAGAGATCTGCACAACCTCCACTCAGTCTTCAGCTGTGGTTGGATGCTGACGGTGTTCTCTGCAGGTGTGGCAGTCCACCGACTCTTTGGTGAACGTGTGCGGCGAGCTGGACTGGAAGCGCTGCGTGGCCGTCCACCTCTGGTTCATGCTGCCCCCGACTGCCTCTGTGGCCGACGCCCTCGCCAGATACGAAGCCGCCTTTCAGGTGAGCCGCCGCTGATTTTCTTTGACTTCATTTCTGACTGTCGAGCGTTCAGGTTACATTTACACTCGTAAAGCTTCGTTTCACTGTGTTCAGCAGAGGGCGGCGTGTGCGGTGTGACGGGTGTAGCTAGTGACCTGCTTGTGTTCGTGCTGATCGGTGATCGTTGTTTCTGTCCTGCAGGGCTTGTGTGAGGCGGGGAAGTACGCCTGTGCACCCCTGCCTCCATACCTGGAGGCGGAGCAGCCAGATCTGGAGGAGGCGTCCAAACGGCCGCTGTACGACCTCTGCTTCCACCTGCTCAAACTCTACAGTGACAGGTAACCAGGCTTCAGCCGCTGGTTGGGTAAAACGTGCAGAGCGCTACTTTAACGCTTCTCCTGTTGCCCTGCAGACACTACGGCCTGCAGCAGCTGCTGGAGCCTCTCGCCGTCACCTGGGAGCGCCTTGACTACCGCCTGAGCTGGCACCTGTGGGGCGTCCTGCAGGCGCTGCACTACACCCACCTGAGCGCCCCACGGCAGGGCCTCCTCCACGCCAGCTACGCCGCGCAGCTGGAGAGCGCCGGCCTGTGGCACATGGCCGTCTTCATCCTGCTGCACATCCCCGAGCACGCGTACGTTCACCGCGCCGCCAGCAGCTATGGCGTTTCTACAGCAGCTTGGCTCTGAGCCAAACAGGGCTCAGGTTGTTTTACGACTCGGAGCTTTGAATCCTCGAGTCTCATGGAAACAGCTGACGGCTCTCAGCTGTAGGCGTGTTGGCTCGGTGATCTTCAGTAACAGTCGAGTTGAACGTGGTCGTTGCGCTCCGGCCCGCTTTGTTCTAAAGACCGTCCTCACTTTAGATCTCAGCTCGTTGTTTCCTGTCTGATCTTCTTCTCTGCGTCTTCAGTCAGAGGGAGCGAGCTGTGAGGGAAATGCTGGCGCTGCACTGCCCCCTGCTGGAGACGGAGGACTCGGTCCGCAGGGAGCGCTTCCTGACCGAGCAGCTGCTGATCCCGGAGCAGTGGATCCACGAGGCCAAGGCCACCCGAGCCCACCGCGACGGCAACAGACACCAGCAGGCCCTGCACCTGTACCGAGCCCGATACTGGAACCAGTGCCACCGCCTGCTGATCCAGCACCTGGCCTCAGGTAGACCCGCCTGTTTGCACACGCGGTCTGAACCACGTCCTGCAGAAGAGTCAAAAACTTCAGGCTCCTCTGATCTGAATAATTAGCACCATTACATGGTTACATTAGAGAGAATTAATGTTCCTGTTGGTTCAAAAACACGATGAGCCAACAAGTGCTGCGTTTTTTTCATTCATCAAAGTCTAAAAAGCTGAGGCGCTCGAGTCCACACATCACGCTATGTTTCATGTGTGAGATCAGTTTGCTGAATCTCGCTCTCTCCCCCCCTCTCAGACTGCATCATCAACGATAACCACGACTACCTCCTGGAGTTCCTGGAGGGTCTGGCGCTCCCCGAGCACTGCGCCACCATCCAGGACTGGGACACAGCAGGGGGCGTTTACCTCGACTACATCAGAGTCATAAAGACTCTGCAGGACATCCAGCAGGTACCAAACACCTCTGAGTGTTTCTGATGCTCAGCTCGATGAGGGCGACTGTTCTTTCAAAGTAAAAGTACTTCATTATGATACTTATTGAAGTAGAAGCACAGACTTACTGTAAGTGTAAAAGTAGTGATGCAGTAGTTACAGAAACACGTTTTCAGCTCAGGTTTTTCTTTTCCTCACATCTCTGGCGCCTGTGGCGTTCACACGAGGCGATGTGATCGCAGCTCGAGCTCATTTCTGGTCGTCTGCATTAGAGCGATGAACACGAGCAGCATCGAGTCTCTGCTTCACGCAGCACGCCGTGGTTTCATCCAACAGTGTTTGCAGAATAAATCTGAAAGCAGGGCTGTAAAATGCTGTGAAATGTTGTAAAGTGCTGTAAAGTCTTCACGTGTTTTTGTAACTGTTGTCCTCACGCCGAGTTTGATCTCGTGTTTCCGTCCTCGCTGTCAGATGGAAAACGCCGGCTACGAGCTGGAGCGTCTCTACACCGATGTGACGTCTCTCTGCAGCAGGATCGAGCTCCTGCCCTGCCGCACCGCTAAAGACCGCCTCGCCCAATCAGGTAAGAGAACAACTGCATCTTTGTCCTGATTGGCTGATGTCAGATGGAGGGGAGGAGTGTGTGACTGAAACTGTCCAGGCGCGCAGTAGCGGACACACACACACCTCTCTAACAGAAACGAGCAGTTTAAAGTCTGAACAGCTTCTGCAGCTACATCAGGTGATCTAACAAAGCCCCGCCCCCTGGTCCCCTCCCTTTCTGCAGAAATGGCGAAGCGCGTGGCGAACATCCTGCGTGCGGTGCTGAGCCTGCAGCAGGGCGATACGGCCGACTCCCTCAGCATCCCGCTCGCCCAGCTGGCGCCGCACATCAGCCGCCTGCCGATGCCCGAGGACTACACGCTGGAGGAGCTGCGAGGCCTCACGCAGTCGTACCTGCGACAGCTCATCGTCAGCCAATGAGAGCGCAGAGCGGGACGAGAAGCTTCGGCTGCTCAAACGTCTTGAAACTGACCCCATAAAAGATGAGGCGAGCAGTGTGTGACCTTTAACCCCACGTCTGTCAGTCTTTTAGCTTGTGCTCAGATTTAAAACCAAACAGGAAGTGACACGAGATTTGCAGCGACAGCAGGGAAGCAATCAGAGAAAAAAGGTTCAAATACTTCCTGAGTGATCATCAGAATTTATTCTTCCTCACTTTATTTTCAATGAAATAAAACGAGCTCAAACGTGATGAAGGGCTGCTGCAGGTTTGACCCGCCCACCAAAGGCCGCTCCACCGCTGACGTTCCTCTGCAGGAGCCTCAGGCTGAGGCTGGAGATGATTTTTCCCATCAAACACCTTCAGTTTAATCGTTCGGGGTATTTGTTCTTTTCCATTCTTTCATTAGCTTCTCCTGAAACATCAGGATCATTTGATCCGACTCAAACCTGCTGACTTAAAGCCAACGAATAAATATTAATAAACAGGAAACTGGGGGAAGAAACGGGACACGAGCAGTTCGGAGTAAACAAAGCTCAATCTTTAACTTCCAGAAACAGCAGTCTTCTCCTCTTTGTGTTGGACTCGACTCGTTTGACCTCTGACCTTCAGAGAGCGGGTCGACGTGGTGTTTCCCCCTCGGTGGGTTTAGAAGCGGCCGTCTGTGTGTGATCACAGAGCAGGCGGCGGTGGATGTGTAAAATGTTGACGCTCTATTTTTGTAGGTGTGTTCCTGTGTGGATGTAACTCAGATCGTTAGTGTCGCAGCTTTAAAGTCAAGAGTTTCCTCCCAAAGCGAGCCGCCGGCCCGAGGTTTCGCTGTAATTATATAAATATTGTATATTTTTGGAAATCAAACGGGAACATCAGGTCGTTTTTATCCCTCGATTATTATCAGATCGGATGCAAAGTCTTTGGAAGTGAAACTCTGCTTACTCATTTATTTTTCTGTTGTAGATGAACGCCAACGATGTTTTTGGGTTTTTGTTTTTCAAAGTGAAATCGGTTGGACTGTTTGAAACTGTCGTTCACTCAGCGATGCTGCAGTGTGTGTGTGTGTGTCTGCTTGTTTTCCTCATGTTTGATATTTTTAATAAAGTCAAGTAGAAATAAACAGGTTGTTTCACATTATTGTTTTTTGAGCTCGGGATCAACTAAAGCTAGTTGGGAATAAACGTGCTAACAAAGCTAGCTTAAAAACAAACCAGCAGACTCACTGAGAATATTCAGCCTGTTCATCTCACTCATGAGTGTCAGACTGACATCCTCGGTGGGAGGACACACCACTCGTTCTTTATTCGGTCTGTGTCAGGACACTCGGTTTCTGTCATCAGCGTTTTTTTTTGAGTGCTTCAAGTCAAAGTTGCATCCGGGTGAACGGCAGAACCCAAAGTTTGAGGAGCGTCGAGGTCACTGGTTCAAACCACAGTTTTGAGGACCTGCGGTGGTGAATGTCATGTGTGGAGCTACCAGGACTTTAGAAGACTAACATTTCACTGTGTTGAGTAAAGTGACGGGGCGTGACAGGCCCAGAACTCTAGCCTCATTAGTAAACTGCGCAGTATTTCTGGAAGTTGTACCTCTAACCAACCATGGACTTTCCACAACCCCCAAAACCACAACGACTCCCCACAGTCCCAGGAAGTAAGGATTTACCCTCACCTCGATAATGCTGCTGAGCTAAGCTAAGCTGCCTCCACAGGCTCATTTCTTTTTAAAGCCAGAGGACCATCATGTGCTGAACTGCTGAAGTTCCTGACAATGATGTATAATTTACATAGACGCCATAAAGGTGCTCGTCTGATAAAACCAGTGCACGTACGTGGAGCTGACAGTGGTCGTCTGAGCACTTCTGAAGCTGGAGCCGCCTCCAACCATACCATGTTTTTGGAGTTGGACTGCAGCTGGTTCTGTCTGAATCATGTCTGCTGGGATTACGGTCTGTGGTTGGTCATGTGATGGCACCTCTGGTTTGTGGGGTTATTCTTCAAACTTCAGATTAAACCAGCTTTATTGTTTCACACAGGAAGCATGTACAAACAAGTTATTTTTAAAACTTTTGAACTTTTTGAATATCTATAATCCGATTGTCTCGCATTTTAGCCTCGGCTGAGATTGGCATGGCACGACTGATTCTGTCTTCAACCCCGTCCTTCATGTCATAGCCGAGGATCTCTGCCAGTTTTTGAGTTGACACGTAGAACTGCTGCTCCTCCTTCACCTCCACCTTAACCCGAGCGGTGTTTTTAGTGATGGCCGAGACAGATTTGATTTCAATTCTCCCGCTCTGAACCTGCACAAAGATAAGAAGCTGTATGTTTAATATTTATCACAGGCAGTGTGTTAGTCAGTGTTGTTGAGGCTGGTTCAGTTCCATACAGTGACTTTCAGCCGCTACCTTTGAAGTTTCAGCAGCTGGAGTTGCTTCTGGGGCTGGATCGCTGGAACCGGTCTTCTTCCTTTTGGGCTCCAGTGGTCCAACGAGCGCAACCTGAACAAACCACCATCACAAAGCTTAAAGATGAGCTGGCAGATCATGGCAGTTTGAATAAACGGAACATTTGGGTTTCTGGTGTCTGTCAGACATTTAAACCAGAATGACGTTTGAGTGGAAAACCAATCGAGCACTTTGTGGATGAATTTAATATCAAACAGTCTCAGCAGCTGCTGCGGTTTACAGAGGCAGGGGTCAGGGTTCTGGTTTGGACCCAGTCTGACTTTTGAGCTGTTCATGGTTTGAACGTTAAATCTGTCGTCCAGCCACATTCACCTTACTGTGCTCGATTAATCTGAAAACATGACGCCGTCGTCATCAGACTGGCATCATTCACACTTTATAACACAAACTGATCAAAATCGGCGTTCAAGTTAAAGCCTTACACAGTGATTATGAGGACATCCTGTATCATATCAAACTAATCTGGTTTATCTTTTGGGGCAGTTTTTGCCTTTTACCAGATACGACTGCAAGGAGCCGACGGCAAAGGGCTGCAGGTTTGAATCCAACCCAGATGGCTGCATTCAACCTCTGTGGTAAACAGTCACATGCTCACACTGAGCTAAACTGGCACTCGGACTAGTTTGTTTTAAATATTAAAGCATGAAAATGATATTCCTGCAATTTTAAAAAGGTCCTCCCAGGTAAGAATATTGGAATGAGGAGGGCTCTAAAGCTGACCTCTTTAAGGTTTATACGAGAGTGTATTCACTGGTTGAACAGCCAAACAAATGAAAACACAAGCTCATGTGCAGGGTAATAAAATGGGCAGTGAAAAGAAAATATAACCTGAATAATACGTAGATGGTTACCACAGTCAGGTCCAAAAATATTTTTAACACAATCTCTTAATTTCAGGGACTCAAAGTATTTGGACAAATTAAATAACTGACAATAAAATCTTGCCATCGAGTTCTCGTCACTTCTGACCACGTGCCCATACCATTGCAGTCACGCTCCTTGCATCTTCCCCATGATGCCTAGCTGCTTTCGGATGTCGATGTTCATGACAATTCACAAGAACAACAGTGGTGTGCTTGGTTTCAACGTAACTTTATTCTTTCATGAGTTATTTACAAGTTTCTGACCACTTATAAGATGTGTTCAATGTGCTGCCCATTGTGTTGGATTGTCAATGCAACACTCTTCTCCCACTCTTCACACACTGATAGCAACACCGCAGGAGAAATGCCAGCACAGGCATCCAGGTGCTGCACATCTCGTATCTTCACACCATAGACAATTGCCTTCAGATGACCCCAAAGATAAAAGTCTAAGGGGGTCAGATCGGGAGACCTTGGGGGCCATTCAACTGGCCCACGACGACCAATCCACTTTCCAGGAAACTGATCATCTCGGAATGCTCGGACCTGGCACCCATAATGTGGTGGTGCACCATCTTGCTGGAAAAACTCAGGGAACGTGCCAGCTTCAGTGCATAAAGAGGGAAACACATCATCATGTAGCAATTTCCAATTTTTGTTTTGCCCATCCTGCAAATTCTGTGGCCGATCTGGGTCATCCTCGCTGAGATGCTGCAGTAGCTGGAGTTTGTAAGGGTGCCATTTGTGAGTAGCTAATATCTACCGAAGGGATGTTCAACTAATGCCACTCTCCAGTGACATGCGGCGAGTGCTACGCTGTGGGCTCTGCTTGCTGCCTTTTATTGGAAAAAACAGTTACACAAGTTTGCACAAGCACCTCCCCTCGTAAAACCCCCCTTGGTTACAAAGACAAGGTACTGTGTGTGTGTGTGTGTGTGTGTGTGTGTGTGTGTGTGTGTGTGTGTGTGTGTGTCATGGGGGTGCGTTTGTGTAACCTCCTGATCACAACTGTTTCTAACAACATCCTTGGTCATAAAGGGGGTAATCTCCCCCACACCCAATATATGGTTCAGTTCCTGTATTGGTTCACCATACACAACACAGTGAAACCATAAAAAGGGCAGGAAGCTTACCAAATATCAAACAAACCTTCACAAGGGATGTGCCTGTGATAAAATACTACAGCCTCCCCCAGAACCTCGAGAGGCTGGGGAGGGGGACAAAGGAATGCCTTGATCACAGAGTTTGTGACCCACACCTGTTTTCACAGAGTTCTTTCAATCAGCCAGGGTTTCGGGTTTTTTCACACCTTGGCTCATGTGATTAGGTAGAGGATCATCAGGGGTCCTTTGTCCCTCTTTGGGGGGAAACTCCTTCTGGGTTTAAATCTCTCCACCATTTGACCTTAGAACTGAAGAAGTTTCTCGGATGAGAGGTGAAACGTCTTCAAGCAACTTAAAGAAGTCCAGACCCTTTTCTTTCCAAGCTCCTTAGACTACGATGACCTGGATGACTGAGAACCTTCACAGACATTTTCTTGCTTCCACTTTTTGGCAAATCCAACACTGAACCAGTTTCACCAAACTTAGCAAGCAGTTTGCTAACTGTAGCATGGGACGTAGGGTGTCTTGCATTGAAATCTGCTGCAATGACCCGGTTACTGCGTTCACCAGATATCGACACGATTTCGATCCGCTCCTCACGTGTTAACCTCTTCGACATGTCAATGGCTGTGAACAAAGAGAAACTTGTAAATAACTCATGAAAGAATAAAGTTACATTAAAACCAAGCGCACCATTGTTTTTCTTGTGACATTACCAATAAGTTTGATGTGTCACATGGCCCTCTTCCTATTGAAAAAACAAAAGTTGTATCCAAGATGGCCGACTTCTAAATGGCCACCATGGTCACCGCCCATCTTGAGGCGTTTGCCCCTCACATATACTAATGTGCCACAAACAGGACTTTAATAACCATTCCCATGTTATTACGGTGTATCCATATAAATGGCCCACCCTGCACATCAGTGACAGCTGGTGCAAAAACACAAAGACTGTAGGAAGCTCCGGATTTGGAATATTTGACTGTAAAGTGCAGACCTGTCTACATACCCCGTGAGTTTACTGTTGTTATGGTAACAGCCATGACAACAGACTGTCAGACCGTGTACAGAGAGTTAAAGTGGGGCCTCATCTTTCCTCAGCCCTCAGGCTTTAACATCGGCTCTCCACAAGACTGTGTACTCAGTCCCCGACTGTACACTCTGTACACACATGTACAATTTTGCAGATGATACCACTGTGGTGGGGCTCATCTCTGGGGGAGATGAGACGGCGTACAGAGCCGAGGTTCAGAGGCTGTCAGATTTGTGTGCAACAACAACCTGGACTTCAATACCACCAAGACAAAAGAACTTCAGAAGGAGAAAGTCTGAGCTGCAGCCCAGAGTGTGTGGAAAGGGTGTCCAGTTCCCTGTCCCTGGGTAGACACAGACCTCCAACAGAGCTCAAACACCTCTGTGGTTTTGGGGGTGTCCCACATTGTGCAGTTTCTAATTTCATTGTACTGGGTACGACTGTAAAATGACAATAAAGAGTTCTCTCTTATTTATGAATATTTTTTTATTTTTTATTTCTATTTATTCTATTTATCCCCTTCGTATATTTTATTTTTATTTATATTTGTCTCTGTATTTATATATATATATGTGTGTGTGTGTGTGTGTGTGTGTGTGTGTGTGTGTGTGTGTGTGTGTGTATCTGTTATGATCAGTGTGTATTTGACAAGCAAAC